TCTTTTACGTACGGCACTTTCATTAAAAAAAAATAGATGATTTATCCCTGAAAATATCTAGACAATTTCATGTAGGCAGCGGCTAAGAAAAAACGAACTTGGCAAATGAAGTTGAAAGTCATTAGAAATAAAGATTGATATTACACAGCAGTTCCTCTTATGTGGCAGTGAATGATACACAATTTCCATACAGGCTGAAGTGGAGATTGGGGGCAATAGATATCAGTCCTACAGAAGGATGTTGAAAATACCACGAACAGAACATAGGAACAAAGAGAAACTTTTAAGGAAACCGGGAACAAAAACGACACTTATACTTAGAATTCAAAAGAGATATTCTGAGGGAATATAATAAGGGAAATGGGCTTAGAAAATTTAACACTCACAAGGCATAGTGAAGGCAAGAGGTACAGAGAAAGGTAGAGCCTGGCATACCAAACAAGCTTGTGTAAATGATTTGTAGAGCATGGGTTAGGAGAGACAGCGAAAAGACAAATATTTTGATGAGTTACAAAGGACAGGAAATTGTGGTGAGCCGATAACATTGATTTGCTGTTTGGAAATAGTGTTTATACATTCGTCACGTTTTTTTTAAAATATATTTAAATATTCTGAACAGTTACAAAGTAAGAGGCACAGTTTATGCGAATATATATAGGAAACATAACGGTTAACCCTAGACTTGAACAGGCCAATGTTGTAGTAATCGGGAAAACACTCTTTGGAGTCGGTTCGCAGTAAGAAGCTGCTCAAGAGGAACTTGATCAGTGCAATACGAAGGGAATGCGGGTGTGCATAGCGTATCGGGTCTTAGTCGCGAAGGTTAGAACTGGTGGAATTAAGGAATGTACTTCATCTGAAGACTTTTTCATGGAAATAGCAATAGAGCAGTCAGAAGCTTGCGACGTTTCGTCTATGGGAAAGGGGTTGTATGGTGGAAAATAATTTGTCACCCACAAGGACGCGGAGATGCTTTTGGATTTTAGCGAGACTGGAAAGTGAAGAGTGAGCAGCTCCTATATATATATATATATATATATATATATATATGACAACAGCAATCCATTTTAGGCCTGGTAAAGATAGAGGATAGTATTTATTGGAACGGTACAGGAAACCGGCCATTTTTTCAGCATCTGGATATTATGTACGAATTCCACTTAAAGTCTGGGTTGAATTTTAGCCCGAATAATCGCTATGAGGAAGGAAGGGTTTCAAAAATTTAACACCCACAGGACATATTGAAGGTAAGAGGAATAGAAAGAAACACTGAGTAACCTACCTAATGGTCTCGTGTAAATGAATGACAGAACAGGGAATGACAGGGATAGTAAAAGAAAAAAAATGTTGTTGAGAGCTACAAAGGCTTGTGGAGAGCCATGATAGGCCACGCCTTGAAAGTACATATAAGAAGAAGAATCTGTGAAAACATTTATAAATCAATCTACATTTTTACTGCTCATTATGACAGCATTCTGATTATGAAAAATTCTTACCTTGTTCAAGCATCTTGAACAAAGCAACATTTTTATTTCTGTCTATCATGTATAATTCAGCTCCATGATCAATTAATTAGAGTCCTAATTATCAGTTTCGTTATATGGCTCACGAAGCTGATTATTTGATGGAGTCTGCATTCATTCGTATCTGGTTTCTTTGGGAACATTATTAAAATCGATGTACAGGGTATATCTAAAGTTTGGACACAGGTAAAAAATGTATATAGCAAAATATATATTTTCAAGAAATGAAATTTCCAGCAACATTTTATTGAATTGGAATATTAACAAATAAAATCTTCAATATGATTTCCATCATTTGTGATGCAAAGTTTGATGCACTTTAGAAGATTCACCTGAACTCGATGCAGTAACTCTACATTGCCGTCAGTTTTAGCACATTCACTCTGTACAAGTTCAATCAAGTATGTTGCATCTGTGATTTTCATTGAGTACACCTTCTCCTTTAGCATAGCCCAGAAAAAGAAGTCGATTATTTCTTTTTTCGACAAAACCGTGTTTAATCTGTGGAAGTAAAAAAATAATAAAGTCAGTGAAATTTCCTGTGTCCAAACACCTTGTTCTTTGTTCTTTCGGTATTTCAACACTGTCATATATTTCATTTATTACTTTAATGACCTTAAATTTTTCTCGTCAGAGTCCATCTGGCACATTTACAAATCTACCAATCGGCCGTGCATTGAATACAGCTGCCATATGTGGTCGGGTACTCCTGTTATTCATCTTGAGGTTCTTGACAAAATCCAAAGAAGGATTTGTAATGCACTCGATCCTGACTTGGCATCTCGACTTCAATCACTTTCTCACCAACGTAGCGTGACGTCACTCTGTCTTTTCTATAAATATTTTTACAGCAACTGCTCTGACGAGTTTTTTCCTTGGTGCCCCGACTGCATAAATTTAAGCGTGCCACTAGATTGGCATTTACGTCCCACGCGTTTATCGCTGAAATAGCTGAATTCAACCACCACTTCCACTCTAACATTCTCTTTCTGGCACTTCCCGTTTGTGGAACTCACTTGCTTCTCTGATAAATACAACCTTCAAAAATTAAAATGCAACGTCAATCGCTATCTTCTTTTTTCTTGAATCCCGTTCATATTTTGTCTTTTCTTCAATTCTCTCTATACTCAGTCTTTTCTCTTAATTTCACCTCCTGTAACCCCCACCCCCTGCGTACAAATTGCATTCCCGCTTTACTTGTAGTGAAATAATTAAAACAAACAAACAAAAAAGATTATGCAAGGCTATAAGCATCTCTACGAGCGTATCGAGTAATTCCGTTTCTTTGTTTGTCTTCATATTGTTATTTTCCAAGCGTAGCTTAGATGTGGTACAAGGCCGAAAGTATGGGGCACCCATTGAGGATCGAACTCACTACTCAGGCGTAATTGTCCTAGCGAGACAAGCTTTCTAACCATTACACAACCTCGAGGTACCCTTCGAACATGTAATTAGTAGACATGCGTTTATTTCGTGAGATAAAGGTAAAGCCCGGTTTGGTCAAAATTCAGTCCGTGACACTAGAGTGAGCTTTCTAGAGCGCATGCCTGGATGATGGTAGTTATTTTCCAAGCGTAGCTTAGATGTGGCACAAGGCCGAAAGTATGGGGCACCCAGTGAGGATCGAACTCACTACCCAGTCGTAATTGTTCTAGCGAGACAAGCTTGCTAACCATTACACCACCTCGAGGTGCCCCTATTTGTCTTGATATTGGCCAGTAGTGACTTCACTTCAGATTCAGGTCTTCCTTTTATTTCTTGAACATTTCTCTCCTGTGCTGTCATGTAAAAGTTCTCCTCTGGACTCATTCAACTATTACAGTACTTTTTCCTTATTTCATTATCATCGTTCCCTTTTATGGTTTTATACATCCAAACGTAGAGCCTGCTTTGATGCCCTGCTGTGTTTTTAAAACCTGTTTTGCACATCCCTGCTCCAGCGATGTTTGGTAGTTTTTCGATCTCAGCACATTTCCCATTAAGCTATTTCACTTTTGCTTGCTTGCACTTATTTCTGATTTTTATAGTTAACTTTATATACGCTGAGCCATTTTTATTTCACTGTTATCTCCCATCTCTTTCATTTCGTCGAGAATTTCGCTTGTTATCCATTTGTTTTTCATTAGCCGGAATGATTTCTACAGTTGTTACAAGGACTTTTTTTCAGGTGCTCCCCTTTGAATTCTAACCTGCTTTAAAGTTTCGGAATTACATGTACTTCAAAGAGGGAATAATGTCATAATCAAGATGTTCCACACAACTCCAAACAAAAGGTTAGGAAGGAAAGCACCCATAAATACTGGAAAGAGCATTAACAACAGCTGGACTTGAAAAACCTATTTTCCTGAAAATTGTTTTAAGAAAAAGATTTTATAAATTTCAACCGATAGCAGCAATGGATACACGGTCAATGATCATCGAATGTTTCCTTACAAGGAAACGGCTAATGTTACTATTACCATTTATTATTCTTAACTGTTACAGCATATATTTTCAATTGGAATAGTGATAGATGATCACGTGATAATGATGGCGAATATGCATGTGATTGTTGTAAAGGTAGGATTGTTGTTATTGTCCAAGGTCTTATAGCTGATTATTTCCTCCATTCGCAAGTTTGAGTGTGTGTGTGTGTGTGTATAGATGGATGGATGCGTGATGGTTCGCCAGCATCCGCTGTTTTATTCTGATTATGAATAACTGTTTTTTCTCTTTTAAATAATCCTTTCGTAAATGTTCAAATTGTCATAATTCTTGTAAACTTGTGGCAATAAACTACGGAATTTGTCACGTGTGGAAGATAATAAAACAGGAAGTGGGGGTAGGGAGGATAAAATAATGAATTAATAAAGAAACTGCTGAATAACTAGAAAATGACATTTAAACAGTTTTAGAAGGGCAATAATTTGCAATTCATCACCTTTGTTTTATGTTTTATTTCATATTTAAAAAGTTCAATATATTCTCCAAAATGGACGCAATATCGCGTGCAGATTATTTAAAAAAAAATTCTGGTGATAGTTGAATTGGGAACATGATTATTCATATTTTAATATCCGACCATCGCCTTGGTTAAATCTCGTGTATCTCCGAGCCCTTTCTCGTTCACTCGGAAATGTTGGAGGAAAGAAGTGAAATGGATCTCCAAAGATACCGGTCCTCCAAACTCGATAGTGACAGTTGCAATTTCCAGCTGAATTATGCACAACCTTTGGGCATTACCCGTCTCACCTGTTGATGGGAATTTCTTGAAAGAGAGACGAATTCAACAAGAAAGGGAAGAGAAAATAAACGAATAAAGCAACAAAGAAAACTTAACGCTTTCATTTTCATTGTCGTTAGAATAAAATCTAACGTGAGGTGAGGACAGAAATAAAATAAATATGAGAAAAGAAAACAGATTTAAAATAGAGTGAAGGATTCGTCTTTATCAAAGTTAAGACGAAAATTGGAACCAGTGTGTATGAAGTTGAGAACAGAAAAATAAGCTTGACACAAAGATGGAGTGAGTAATGGTAAAAGTATAAAGAGAAATGAAGAAGTTTTAAACTGAAAGTAAGGAAGAGAGAGGAAATAAGAAAAAGTACGGAAAAAAAACGAGAAAAAATGAGTGTAAAAAGAAAGAAATGAAGTGTTAAGAACGAAGAGAAAAGTGAAATGAATGAACGAAGAGAAAAGTTAAATGAATGAACGAATAAGAAATTACACTGAGAGAAAAAGGGGGAAAGTAAAAGGATAAAGAAAAACAAAGAAGGTTTAAACTGAGAGAAGAGGAGAGAGTGAGAGAAAAGTAAAAGTAGAAAGAAAAAAGCAAGCGTGAAGGTTGGAGAAAAACAAGAGAAAACAGGAGGAAGAGGCAGCGGGAGAAGGAGAAGTTTTTAGAATAACGATGGAAAAAAGCAAAGGAAAAAATAAAAAAAGAGGAAGAAATAATGAAAGTAGTTCAGTTAAAGTCATAAGGAAAAAAAAACACAACAGAGAAAACAAACGAACAATAGCATATAAAAAAACAGCACGATGATGAAATTTCATCCATTTTTATTTTTACTGGTTTCGTTTTTCGTAAGACTCACAATGCAATAATTGTGTTTATTGCAAACAATAATACAGAACAAAGGAAAAATAAAATAAAATAGAATTATAAAAATAAAATGAAAAATAACGGAAAAGAAAAATTAAACCAAACCTTTTCAAAGACTTCTATCTCTGTAAAACTCTTGAAACGGAAATTTCCCTAGGTTATGAATCAACGATAAAGGAAGTGCCAAGAACATTTATCCTGATTTGCAATTGTCACAAATATCAGCCAGTGGTAAGATTAGAATTGTGACGCTAACTCATCAAATAGAGACGCCATTAAGACGATCAAGACGCTCATAAAGCAGATATAAATGATGCAGGCTGCAGGTATGATACGGTTTGAATGTAACTTATGAAATTTATCTTTCTATCTATGCTGCTGTGTCGGTAAAGCTCGTCAGCAACAGCTGAGCAAGAAAACGTACTTTAATAGACGGAAATTTTAGGCTAGTCTCTGCCACGCTTCTGTTGAGTTAAGTAAACGGGTGGTAGGGAGAATAAACCGGAAACGTTTGCCCGGAATCTAAATGGCGACCGTCTAGAATAGATATTAAATCAGGTCAGCTCTGTTTGGCTAAAAATCACCATAAGGAAGCACCTAGTGAGGACCAAACTCACTATACTGACAGTGATTTAGTCGGCGAGTTTGTAGAAGATCGTTCTCAGACAGGCGCTTTTTCAACATTTTTTTTTTCTGAAATATTTTTTTTTCTGAAATATTTTTGTTTCTTCCGAACTTTCTTTTCTCTCGCTTTTTCTCAGTGTAAGCTTTCTTTTCTTTAACATCTCTATCATATTACTTTCGGTTGTTCTTCAACTTTCTTCATTGTTCTCCTTTTTATTGTTTAGGTCCTCGTTCTACCTCACGAAAAGAAGCTCTCTTGTTGAAGGATGCTAATAAAAATGGACCATTTGTAGATGTCTGTTTATCAACATGACCAAACGATTTATATTTAACGTAAAATATCACAAAATAAGAAACAACAAGAAGGAATAAAAACGGTTTTTATAACATCAACATTTATTTTTGTGTGTACATTCGTAGAGGCTTTGGTGTTATGTCCCTTAGACTGATTTAATATTTTTATCTGAGCTCACAAAAGTTGAATGAATTATAAAGCTGAGAAATACTGAATAAACTGTATCTTTAGAAAAGTATTTCAAAGAGAAAAGTTCTTGTTTGGAAAATTTCGTATGCTTGAATATGCTTTTAACGTCTGACCATCCATGGTCGAGACGGAAATCCTTCTACAACTATATATATATATATATATATATATATATATATATATATATGAGAGAGAGAAGCTAGTGTTTGCTATTTATAACTGATGTAACCACGTGACAAGATCACGGAAAAATGGCGAGAAAACTTGACTTGGTCACGCGCGAGAAAAATATTTGTACGCGGGTGGATTGCAACGACCACTTGTGTGTTTATTGACCAATTAGAAGCTGATATTTCCTGAAAATATTTACTAAGCTGATTAGGCTCTCTGATCCACTTTTTGCATGAAATTGTACAAAATTCAGCATTGATAAGAAAGTGGTAGCGGAATGCTAAACTCTCTCTTTATATTTAGGGAGTATCGAAAGTGTTTTCGTTTTCTGCAAATCTTTAATCAACATGAAGCTTATTCAATGCTCAACATATGTTATCATTTAATGATTTGAACTCTTCCGAATGGACGGCTTCTACATTGTAGTTTAAAATATGATAACGACAAGTGACGAACTGAAACAATTCTTTTTGGATCCCACCAAACACAGAAAAACTAGGGTACCGAACCAGTCTCGTTGAGCCTAGCTATTGAGTTCAATTCTCATAGCCACTGATCTTGTGTCATACTAAGCCTAGTAAACAAAATAACTCAAAATAACGTTTTTTCTTTTTTTGTTTTTTTTTTCGAGAGAGGAATACATTAAGGTTGAGAGGTTGTAAATTGTTCTCCATCTTGTTAAGATATTCTTCAGTTTCGATTTCCGCTGTGACTTCAGAATTTTTAGTCGCCGATAATTATCCTCCCAAAAATGATTTTTTTTACTTTGGAGAAAAAAAAAAACATTAAAAAAAAAGAAAAAAAAAAGCTGATCGATATTCATTTCCATAATTTCATGTAAAATTCATTTCCTGAATTTTTACGAAATGACATATTACAGTTGACGTATTGCATAAGAATCAAAGAAGCGAGTAAACGCCAATGAGACTTCTAAGATTTCTCCAATATTGGGCGAAAGAGAGCGTTAGGAGCTCTTTTAATCGTCAATAAAGTTTGAAAGCAAAATATTATAGAATGATGGTTTATTTGAACTTGTAATTCTCACTTTTTTTTTAACAACGCTTCGTCCAGTTTCGAATAACTTCTTCAGGCGAATTCTTCGGATAGTTTCATTATTCTAACAACGTTTATGAACACTGAACATTATTTTAAAGAGTAAGACTATTCCTTTTTTTTTATTCCTGTAGATTCTCCTTGTAGAGTTGTCGAGCTACATTTATACTGATGCTTTTGCAATTTTATTAACAAAATTTGTTTTTTTCTAATGAAATGAAGTTGCTAGTTCCATACACAACTCTCTAGTTTTTAATTCAGTCATCCTTCTCATAAATTGATTATCAACTAAGACTAGAGAGCTCAGTCTGCTTTGTCATTTTACTCATAGCTAGGTGGGATAGCGAGATGAATTTATTCATCTCGCTGTTGGCGTTAAAACAAACTGCATCAACCAGAATTTGAACAAGATGAACCGAATTAATTTTCTGTGCTTTTAACGATGAGATCCCACTCGGAGCCAGACACACCCCAAAAGAAAAAGGCGAACTGATGCCCCCCCGTTGTCTTTTCTACTGTTGTGAATTCAGAGTTTCCTTTCACCTAAACTGCTATCCGTGCTTAAAGAATTGAACAGTATACCCTGTTATTTAATCTATAAATCTAGCAATTCGTCTACAGTCGCTTTCTCACAAACGTACTGTGACTTCCCTCTGTCTTTTCTACAAATATTTTCATGGTAACTGCTCTGACGAACTATTTTCAATGGTACACCAACTGCATGAATTTAAGCGTGCTACTAGATTGGTATCTCGGTTTCACATTTTCACTGTTAAAACGGTTAAATGTAATCGCCTCTTCTATTCCAACAGCTTCTTCCCGATAGTGGAGCTCCATTCCTCCCACTTGCTATAATCTTCAAATTTTCAAATGTAATGTCAATCGACATCTTCTGATGCCTTGATCCTGATCCCCGTTTTTCTCTATATCCTTTACTAAAGCACCCCTCTTTAGTCTTTCTTTCAGTCGCTGTAACCCCTTGCGTGCTAGTGGTACTACTGCCTTGCTTGGGGTGAAATGCTTTAAAAAAAAGAAAAGAAGATGATTGAGGGAACAGATGAATTCATAACTTTCTCTAAAGCCATTAGCGTGAGCTTAGCACAAGCTGGGTTGGAATCTGAACACGGCTAGAAGATTTTAGAGTGAATGCTGGGCAATCTCCTCATAGATGAATAAGAGAATTGACGCAACATAAATACGGTTTTACAGAAAGATAGATAATGAGGATACCCTGGACTGAAGTTTTAGAGACAATGGCAACAAAAATGACGCTTATACTTAACATAATAAAAATGCAGTTGAGGTTCATGGGACACATAAATAGAATGGCGGACTTGGAGAATTTGATACTCACAGGGACAGATTTGAAGGCAAGAGAGGCAGAAGAATGTGACGCAAAACCTACCTGGCGAGCTTGAATCAATGGATAGTTTGGTTTGGTTAGTTTTATGGCGTATCAACCTCAATGAGTTATTTAATGCCGACATTTTTATTTGTCAATATCTCTGAGATGAGGTATTATGATTACTTGAATTATTTACATTATTCGGACTGTTATCCTCATCTTCATTGCCATATTCACAACTTTTTGGCCGTTGTACGATTCGGCCTTCTTCAGGTGATTGGCATTTTGAACAGGCCGGTGCGTGCAACAACCGAAACGCTGTGAATATGGCAATGAAGATGAGGATAACAGTCCGAATAATATAAATAATGCAAGTAAGATTTTTACTGCTTGTAGTATGTTTTTCCCAAAATATATAGCTGGTATTGTTTATTTTATTTTTTATTTTTTTACATAAATGTATTGCTGGTGTTAAAATCTATTTTTAAACTTTCATAGTGTTTTGACCCCAGTTTGGGAGTTAACTATTTTCCATAGCTAGGACCCTAACAGGTGCTACCACCCCGGATCAGAGTGGACCTGGGAATACCAGCAGTTAAGAGGTGGTTCCGCGCTCCTCAAGATCTCCTGATCAGAGGCCTTGCTACCGGATGTAGTTCATCGTTATTCTTAGGAAACGAATGTAGTTTATTGTCATACACAGAACGGAATAAATGAAACAGTGGAGCAGAAAATAGGAGAGATGACAAAAAGATAAAAGTTATTAAGAGCTACACGGGAGAGGAAATTGTAGAGAGCTATGATCGCAAACGTATTGAAGGGACACGGCACATAGAAGAACTGCTAAGCCACTCGTACCAATCAATAATAAAACGAGCCGGTGAAAAGTTTGCAGGAAGAAACATACAGAATTAAACAATCGAATCGGGCTATTTTAAATCACTAAATAAGTAAGACATTTTGTCTGTATAAACCAAATATGTTAACAAAGACGCCGGTCGTTTAAACAATTCCAAGATATGGTCGTAGGATAATTACGCATTAATACACGAATGAGAAACATAACTGAAAGTTAAAACACTGCCAACATCGATTTCTCTTTAGAATAGTCATATAATGTTAACAATTTTCGTCTCAAATTTCTTTAACTCATTATTTCTAAAAAGCATTTCAGATGGAAAATTTTGCGAGCAAATCGTCGCTAAAGCAAACATCACTTTCAGGTAAATGGATAATTTAAATCGATATCATCTGATATGTTTGGAAATTCCTATGGAAAATTACTCTCGCAGAATTCTCACGAGAGTAGTGGAGCTGAAATGATTTATTGGGTTAAAGAAGATTACAAGTTGTCTTTCAAGGGATTAAGCTTACAATGAGGCACTGATTGTAGCTTTATTGATCATAAAACGTTAGGCAATCAACGAAATTAATTTACGGAAATCAGATCCTCATTAAAATTAACGCTTTCTTTAACTATTAACGATATGCAATTTGTTTATATATTACATACGATCATTATGTATGTATATATATATATATATATATATATATATATATGGACGCGCGCGTGTGTGTGCATAAAAGTACTTGGATATGCTTAAGTAAGTATATATGAAGCGAAGCTAATTATCGTATTAAATCTAAGGAGTTTTTACAAGTATACACTTGAATTTAAAATGGTACCATTTGCAGGAGTTTGCAATGCTTAAATCAGGTCGATTTCCTATCAAGCAAATTAATGTTTGAATCTGTATTAGAAGTTTTTACAAACATTTACATCTAAGCACACAGTACATGTATAAAAATGTTTATGACACCATTAAGGCATACCAAAAATATTTTCATATTTACAGATTTTTACTTCAAAGCTTATTACATTACAAGTCTTTACAACAAGTCTATCTATCTATGTATCGTGGTTCCTTTCTTTCTCAGATGGTTCTCTATTTATTTGTGGTAGTTCGTTCTATTTATTTATCTATCTATCTATCTATCTATCTACGGTGGTTTGTTGTTTCTTTCTCAAGTAGTTCTATCTATCTATCTATCTATCTACGGTGGTTTGTTGTTTCTTTCTCAAGTAGTTCTATCTATCTATCTATCTATCTATGGTGGTTTGTTGTTTCTTTCTCAAGTAGTTCTATCTATCTATCTATCTATCTATCTATGGTGGTTTGTTGTTTCTTTCTCAAGTAGTTCTATCAATCTATCTATGGTGGTTTATTGTTTCTTTCTCAAGTAGTTCTGTCTATCTATCTATCTATGGTGGTTTGTTGTTTCTTTCTCAAGTAGTTCTATCTATCTATGGTGGTTTGTTGTTTCTTACTCAAGTAGTTCTATCTATCTATCTATCTATCTATGGTGGTTTGTTGTTTCTTACTCAAGTAGTTCTATCTATCTATCTATGGTGGTTTGTTGTTTCTTACTCAAGTAGTTCTATCTATCTATCTATCTATCTATCTGTTCATGTGCATGATGAGTGAATATTATAAATCAAGGATTAACCCTACTGATCATTTATGTTTTTCTGAGCCCCTAATAAGGGAAAATGCATTTATTTTAATCGACATATATTTTTCATACTTCAAACAATTATAGTGGACATTTCTTATTTGAAATAGACGACTAATAATTTTTATTTCTTTAATAAACAGTTTGTAATACGTCTATCGGTCTAAGTACGGAAAATTTTCTCTCCTATAGTGATCGAATCTGCGTCCCTCTTTGGTGGGAGAAAATATAATTTGATCCGACATGCTTTACCGCTCGGCCACGGAGGACTCACAGCAAGGAAAGCTCTTTTCCTTATTTAAGGAAAGTACATCCCCTTCTCTCGGATTATTTTTCTCGGTGACCGTTTACGCAATATATTTATTTCCCTAAATAATCTTTCTGTCAATAAACTTAATTTAGTGGTGAATATTAATGATATAAATCGAACATAATACAATGAAAACCTAAAAATATCGATAACAACACTGAAACATTATTATTAATACAAATGACTGACATGATTTCGGATATTTTGCAAGACTTTCAGTAGAGCACAATTCCCAGAAAAGTACAGAAAAGAAGGATCTAATAATGCTTATTAATATTTTGACAGTATGCCAGACTTCTTCAAATTATATATAAAACAAGAATTCATACAAATATATAAACAAGTCTATGTACAAACGTCGTTTGTCGTCTTCTATTTGCCGTGGACATTCAGGACGTTGGCGATCATGGCTCACTAGAATTTCTTGTCTTTTGTAGCTCTTAATAAATTTTGTCTTTTTGTTATTCTTTTTCTGACTCTCTCGCCTTCAGTCTCTGAGTATCCAATTTTCTAAACCCTCTTTCCTCATGATGTACCCTAGAAATTTCAATTGTCTCGTTCTAATGTTAAATATAAGTGTTCTTTTTGTTTGTATTTTCTCTAAAACTCTTCAGTTTTCTTTGTAATATAATTGTATCGGAATAGTTTGATTTATCTACTTTAGTCTTTTCATATCTATCTTCGTTTGTTCATATTTATCTATCTAAGTCTGTTTATATCTATTTTAGTCTGTTCACATCTATCTATCTTCGTTTGTTCATATTTATCTATCTAAGTCTGTTTATATCTATTTTAGTCTATTCATAGCTATCTATATATTTTAGTCTATTCATAACTATCTTGGATAGATATGAATTGCTATCTGCCTATCTAAGTATTTTATTATCTATCTATCTAGCTATCTTAGTCTGTTCATATCTATCAATCTTAATCTGTTCATATCTATCAATCTTAATCTGTTCATATCTGTCTTAGTCTATTCATATCTATCTATATATCTTAGTCTGTTCATAACTATTTTGGATAGATATGGATTTCTATCTGCTTATCTATCTAGGTATTTTATTATCTATCTATCTAATTTACTTAAAATATATCTGCAGCATCCTTTTTCTTTTTATATTTGTAAATTGTGCATTGCCGTGATTGTTCTTAGCAAAGATCATGATTTTCCATTACCTTCGCTATGATACGTAATCCAGAGTTGTCCCTCTTCGAGAGTGGCTGTTAAGCAGAGTGAGAGAATTCTGTCTGCTCTACATTTTAACCCATATCTTAGTGAGAAAGAGAAGGATTCGCGCTTTGTCCAAATGTAATGGTGTAAAGTCAACACAAACTGCTTCAACTGGAATTTCAACTTGGCTCGTCTATTCCGTTCTGTCAAACTACAACTTTAGGTGTTTAGTTTGTTGGACTATGTTGTACAGTATTAAATTCCTTAATCATCTGACAAAAAGTTATTGTTTATCATTACGTATTCAAGATATGCGGATATATGCTTTTATCTTTCACTGTGTAATCCGGTCATTCCAAAGTTATGGAACACTGCGTTAAAAGCTGAGATTAGTTAACAGGCTACAGGGCGTTAACACTTTCAATTTCACAGTTCCACATGTAATTAACATTGCAACCTTTTAGTCGAAATAATGATCCTGACTGTAATCTTATCCTGGACAACGCCAGTTAACCATACCGGATAAAAATAAAATTCAAGTTAAGGTAATCTCATATCCTCAAAGTGCAACTCGGTGCGTTTTTGGATCATTATCGTGCTGGATTGGCTGGCCAATGAACATCATATTCCGGAGATCAATGACAATGGCATGTGTACAGCAGTCAGTGCGCAGGTCAAGAACGCTTGAACGGAATTTAATGTCTAGAGAGCACTACATAAGAGTCTGATAAATTTAGTATTGTTTCAAAGCTCAAAGGCTAAGCTGCTCAACATAAAGATATTTTTGTTGCAAGATAGGCTTATCGTGACGGAAAATTAAATTGACAATTAGGAAGTACTGATTGACACGAGGCGGAATCTACGATCAATGCCCCAATCAATCCTCCTATCGATTTATCACTTGTTCGCCAAAATATACTTCATTTTGTTTTGGAATGTTTCGATAAATCAGTCACATTACTTTGGCTAATGATCCAAACTTTGCAAATACAAGAAGAAGGAAGAAAAAATAATAAAAAAAATTGAAGATAATAAGTTGAAAGAAACAAATTAAAAAAAAAAAAAATATGCGAAAGAAGTCTGAAAATAATGATGCGCCTACCTTTCAGGCACTTTGCTCAATCTGCACGGGAAAGCGCGACGACACGAACAGTTTCGGAATCCGGAGGTGATACAAATGCGGCAGTAGTTAAGCCCACAGACAAAACATTGCCAGCCCTTCAGTCGTCTATCTTTATTACTACGCCAGATGTACGGACGAGTAACATTCTTTAGTTCCACCAGCACTGACCTTCACATCTAGGACCCACCATACCATGCTCGCAGGGGGGAAATCATCGCCATTCCCTTCGTGTACCTTTGATAAAAATCAAGTTCCACTCAGACAGCTTCTTTCCCAGAACTGTTATTCGTAAAAAGAGAGTATGCATTCCGGACAACGACAATCTTCGTCTTTTGGGTACCTCTGGCTTGGTTGGCAACCAGTCTAGAAGAAAGGCCACGATGAAATCAAAAACTGTATGTAGCTCTGGCGAAGCACATACTCTATGCAGCGAATGAAACGGTCATGGATTTCATAATTACTCTAACTGCGGTCGGCCTTTTGGTAGTTTAAAATTGTTCTTATTTTCTCTTAAAATTTTCTAAAGAAAATAATTACGATTATTTTTTGTTTTAGCAAATAACCATTCAAATTATAACTTTTCGAAAATACACCCAGTTACGTAAAGGGTACAGAAATTATTTTTATAGCTGAGTTTTCTCCCTTAATAATCCCTCTATATGGTAGTAAATGCTGGATAATCTCCTCACAGATGGTGACTTAAAACAACGGAAATGCGGGTGAAAATCGGACATCATACGTATTTGTTGCGGACCCGGCAGCGTGCAGTGCTGGTTTATTACAAAGTGGCCTTGTGCCAGACACCACACTAAACTACCGAGTCTACAAGCAATGTAAAAAAAATAAATATGTGCGTGAATGAACAGTGAGAGGAAAGGGGTCAATCAACAAGTGCATAAAATAAAATATATTAAGATAGCCGACTCAGAATGACAGGACAAGACTGGATTCAAACAAGAGTAATTTTTATTAAATGCAGGAAAAACAAGTAACTTCTCCCGTAGTAGGGATCAATGAATATGTTCCGCGCCAAAAGTAGAAAACAAGATGGCTAAAGGCGGGAAAGGTTCTTGAAGAAGAAAGGTTCCAGTAAGTCAATGTACATGATAATATTCATACAAGGAAAAATACTCACTGCGAGTTTTTAGGTAATGTGAGTGAATGTTATGAACATATTTTTTTTCCTTTTTTTTTGTACTGGTTCAAAACAGATTTCTGACGAGACCCAAAGTGGTCGACGGATTAATATTTTGTATGTTCTGCATCGTCTCGGAGAAGGACTTTGAATGACGAGTCACAAAGGGCCGAAAAGTTAATTATTTGGTATATGCATCATCTCGTAGAAGGATTTTTGAATGACGAGCCAAAAGGGACGCAGAATTAATTATTTGGTGTTTTTATTGGTTACCTGTTGAATACGAAGTTTCTGCCGACGACTGTGTCGTGTCTCTAACGTCTTCTGGTCGAAAACGGAGAAGGTCTGATCTGCGATTAGCAAGTTGTTCGTCAGTAGGATATCCCTGTCTGTATTTATTGGTTCGCTGACGAGGGATAAAAGTTAGCCATTATTAGTTGAATACGAAGTTTCTGTCGACGACTGTGTCGTGTCTCTGACGTCTTCTGGTAGAAAACGGAGAAGGTCTGACCTGCGATTAGCAAGTTGTTCGTCAGTAGGATATCCCTGTCTGTATGTATTGGTTCGCTGACGAGGGATAAAATACGCCATTAGTTGAATACGAACTTTGCTCACGACAGTGTCGTGTGTCTCTAAAACGTCTTCTGGTAGAAAAACGGAGATGGTCTGACCTGTGATTAGCTTCAAGACGAGAAGAAGTCTTGGTAGAGTGTGAAGTCGCCATTGTCGAAATAAGATATTCCGGCCCGCATATGGGTTAAGGGCACGGAATAAAATGAGTTGCCCATCTAGTCTGGTCGAAAGTCGAGAGGCAACTGGCTTGCAAACGCTGGCCGTTTTAGACGCCGCGAAACGCGTGGGAAAAAATTCAAAATCTATCATGAGTTCATCAGCAGGAGCCAACGAGTTTACTGCTACATTTAGCTGTGAGTGAAAGGTAGGGTGAAAACACGCGCGCACACACGCACGAGTGTGAAAGGAAGGGAGGAAACTCGCGCGCGCGTAAAATATAAATGGAATTAATGTGTTAATTCCATATATTATTGATGGTCAGGATTTAATACTTCATTAAAGAATAAGTTTTTTTATACAAGGTACTATCGAAAGTTTTGGAGAATTAGGACAAGTTAGTCAATCTATTCATTTGACCTGTTAACCAGCGTCACACATGTCTCGTAGTTCGTCCTGGGTAAGACGTTAAACTACATCCAGCAGCAAGTAGAACAAAGA